TCAAACAGAGAGTTCTGAAGATCATGGAATTCAATCAAGTTTTTGTGAATAGAAAAATTAATAATATAGAGGGTAAAATGAAATTAATGTGGTTTATGCTATCACAGGGCAGAATCAGAGAGTGAGTCGGGGGGACAACTGATCTCTTTTCATGCAGTCATCTAAGATACAAGATGTCCCATATCCTTTTATGAAGGATGTTAAAAGCATAATATTCAGTCACATAACAAGGAAGTAACCATCTTGATGAGAACCCAAGGGCTCTGTCAGCCTCAGTGCTTCTGTCTAGTTTCCTGATCACTCCTATTTCTCCCGTAGAACCTCAGAGGCAGCATACAAAAAGTGTGTCAATTTTTGGGCACACATCCGAGTCCAGAAACTTGATTCTGTTGTCCAAAACTTTTCCTTTTCAGTCAAGAAGGATAATAGAATGTCCAACAGTGTGATGTTAAGAAATCTGGAGATGACTCCATCTCCAATATACCATTTCTGAGAAAGGGTGAGACAAGATAGAGAATCCATGCTGTATTATAGCAATGGGTAGGTTCTCAATCTTTGCATAAAGTATGAGGCATGAAAATGGATGTGTTTGGAAGTTAGGAACATGTTCTATCATGTTCTTTCAGAAGAGTCTGCCTAAAAGTCCATTATTGAGATCCTTAGAGGAGGAATGAGAAGTACCTGTCCTATGGCTCTGCCTGGGCAATGGATATGTCCTGTCTATACACTAGACCATTCAGTCTCAGTGACATGGTACAAGTCTGTAAGACACCAGAGATATAGTCACAATAACAGGTCTTTACAATTCAGAGGGCTTTGTGGGATTACAACAGACGACACATGTAAACATCCATGTGTCTATATGATGGATAGAATTTGTCAGTGTTGCATTCTATTACATTTGTCAGTAATAGAATATATTGACACATGTAGCAGCTTGGATGGATTCCAGTGACTTTAGGATGACTGACAAAAGACAACGTAAATCTATACAAAGAATATGTAACATTCACAAAATAAAAAAATATCTGTAGATGCAGAGAATATGTTGCTAATGTTCAGGGATGCCGGGTGGTGGGATTTGGTGGTTCATATCAACAAAGTATGGGTAGTATTAGGAAGTGTTTGCGGCAGAGGACTATCTATGTATTTCAGTGGAAATGACTTACAAAAAATGCCACATGGAGAAAAGTGAAGTAGAATGCATTCATTTCTCTAGAGGAGATTTTTTCCTGATCATAGTATTGTGTAAAAATTCCTTTAACTTTAATATAAACTTTCACAGAAAAATAGTTTAAAGACATACTTTTGGTGCCAATTCTATAAACTGATAATCTATCATGTGGTTGACATTTGTTTCTAACTGTGAGTGGTTGAATGGACGTTCAGTTTTGAGAACTTCCTCAGTGTTCCATCAAATTTTCAAGGCTAAGATTTTCCATGTGACATTTCTGGCACTTACTGTGCCAAACAAAATCATCTCAAGTCGCGTCCCTTTGTGCTAGTGTGGCTTTGACAGTTGACAGTCAGCATGGAGTAAAAAGCTGTAGGATGTCTCTGACAGTTGACAGTCAGCATGGGGTAAAAAGCTGTAGGATGACTCTGACAGTTGACAGTCGGTATGGGGTAAAAAGCTGTAGGATGACTCTGACAGTTGACAGTCAGCATGGGGTAAAATCTGTAGGATGACTCATTTTGTTCTTGATTAAATACCAACTTGATTGATGAGGTGAGAGTGAGAAAGGCTTGGATGCAACATGTGGGGTGTTTGGTCATTTTCCTGGTGCTTTTCCTTCTGTGTTAGGCAGACATTTGTGGGAACTGGAAGAATCACTTCACTGTGGCTCAAAGTGAAACCTTTGGCAAAGTCTATCAGGAGAAGATGCCACGCCTGGGTCCTGGTCTCTTTCCCTGGTCAGAAGACTGTTGATTCTCCTTTATCCCGATAGGGTTTTTCACTGTAGCCCTGACTGTCCTGGAACACACTCTGTAGACCAGGCTGGCCTTGAACTCTGAGATCTTCCTGCTACTACCTCCTGAGTGCTGGGACTAAAGGCTCCACCATTGCCCTTCTGTTTGGAAGGTTGTAAGCATTTTAACAACTCTTAGTGTTAGGCAAAGGACACAGTCAAAAAGACAAAAAGGCAGGCCACAGAATGGGAAAAGATATTCACCAACCCTACATCTGACAGAGGGCTAATCTCCAAAATTTACAAAGAACTCAAGAAACAAGTCTCCAAAACACCAAAGGATCCAATTAAAAGGTGGGGTACAGAAATAAATAGAGAATTCTCAATAGAGGAGTCTAAAATGGCCAAGAGACACTTAAGAAAGTGCTCAACATCCTTAGCCATCAGGGAAATGCAAATCAAAACAACTCTGAGATACCATTTTACTCCTGTCAGAATGGCTAAAATCAAAAACACCGAAGACAATTTATTCTGGAGAGGATGTGGAGAGAGGGGAACATTCCTCCACTGCTGGTGGGAATGCCGACTCATACAGCCTCTTTGGAAATCAGTATGGAGATTCCTCAGGAAAATGGGAATTAATCTACCACTAGACCCAGCAATTCCACTCTTAGGCATTTATCCAAATGAGGCAGGTTCATACAACAAGGGCATCTGCTCCACTATGTTCATAGCAGCATTATTTGTAATAGCCAGAACCTGGAAGCAACCTAGATGCCCCTCAACTGAAGAGTGGATAGAGAAAATGTGGTACATTTACACAATGGAGTATTACTCAGCAGAAAAAAAACAATGGAATCTTGAAATTCGTAGGCAAATGGATAGCACTAGAAGAAACCATCCTGAGTGAGGCAACCCAGTCGCAAAAAGACAAACATGGTATGTACTCACTCATATATGGATGTTAGACATGGATCAGGATAGTGCTAGTCTGCACTTCCACTGATAGTCTGGGAAACAGGAAAGAACCTAAAAGATATGCATATATGCATAGTACCCAAGAGAAGAGGATTGAGACAAGATCCTCTGAATGGATGGGGAACACGGTGAGGGGTGGGGGGAGTGGGAACTGGGAAGAAGAGAGGGGGTGAAGAGGATGAGAGTTGGTCATGGGGGAACAGGGGGTAGAATAGGGGGAAGAGGGAATCATAGAAGACACATCAGGCACCAGAGTGACCTTGAGTGATCTAAAGGGATAACACCAATTGGCAAGCTAAGCAATAGTGGAGAGACCACCTCAAATGCCCATTCCTGATAATGAACTTGATGTCTATAACCATCCGGGAGCCTTCATCCTGTGACTGATGGAAGCAGAGGCAAACACACAATTAATCACTGAACTGAACCCAAGGAACCCAGTGACAGAGAGGAGTGATGAGCAAATTGGCAAAGAATGGGCTGGCAAAACCAGCAGAGACAGCTGATCTGAACAGGGGAGAGCTCTTGGACCCCAGAGCGACAGTGGGGAGGCCAGCATGGGACTGATCTGGACCCCCCAAATGTGAGTGTCAGTGAGAAGGCCTGGGCAACCTATGGGTCCCTGAGCTGTGGATCAGTGTCTATCCCTGGAATACAAACAGTCTTCGTGTGCCCATAGCACAAAGAGGGATGCTGTCTCAGCCTGGACTCTTAGGGGAGTGCCTGGACCCTACCCAGAGTGAAATGACAGACTCTAGATATCCCCTATGTGGAAGGATTTGGCAATAGGGTGGGAGGGTGGGGGGGGGAAGGGGAGAGCGGGAGGAGGGGAGGGAGAGGGAACTGGGATTGACATGTAAAACAAGCTATTTAAAATTAAAATAAAAAATGATAAAAAGCAACAGGTCAATAAGTCATAGACTGAAATTTCCAAAACTGTGAACTAAAGAACTTAAAAAAAAGAACTCTTAGTGTTTACTACTCAGTTACTCATACTTCAAAAAAATCTATCTGTGCTTGTTTTTTTTGTTGTTTTTGTCATCTGTATGCAAATTAGTCATCTGGGATCAGGGAATTTCAATTAAGAATATGCCCCCTTCAGATTGGAGTATAGGAGGACCCTGCCTACTCAATGTGGTGTCATGCTTAGGGAAGCATCTCTGGGATGTACAAAGAAAAGAAATATGAACGAGCCATAGGGAGAAGGCCATAGGGAGCAAGCCAGTAAGCATCTATCCTATATTGTCTCCACTTCAGATTTCCCTGATGAATAAACCCTTCCTCTCCCTCACAGCACTGGAATAAAAATGTGAATACTAGCCCTTTAAGTTGCCCTATATCACAAAAGTCATAGCAAAATACTATTTTAAAAACTAGATAGAGTCTGGAGTAGACAACTGTACCTAGCTTCCAAACCTGAATTAAAAACAAGATATTTTTAAAAACGTCAATATATTGTTACTTTTAACCTATTACAATGATGAATTTATTGATATTAAAGGTGGTCAGCACAGAAAAGTGTATGCTTGCCTGAGCTTTAACTCTATAGCTAGAAGAAACACACTCTGAAAATACGTGGGGTTATAGCAGCAGGTGAGCAGTAGAGAGCATCATGGCACGTGCAGAAGATGGGAGCCAGCCTGTACCCACACCCGGTCCTCACAGCTACCTTTAACTCCAACTCCAAGGGACCTAGTGCCCTCTGATGGCCTCCACAGGCAACATTGCTCATGTGCACACACAAAAACTATTTTAAAGAATATTAAAGAGTAGGGATTCCATTAGGATTAGGAAGAAATCTGCACTGCATTACTTGTACTAATTAAGTTGAAGATGAATTATTAGGGTGGGGAAAAGTCGGTCTACTAGGAAGGCTCAACTGAACTAGGAAGAATTTTATTTCTAGTTCTCGAAAAAATATAAGGACAGGAGAAATAGCTCAGAAGTTAAGAGTATTCATCGCTCTTGCAGGGGGCCCGTGTCCAATTCCTAGCACCCACATGGTGGCTCTTAATCACATGTAACTACAGCTCCATAGGATCTGATGCCCTTTGACCTCCAAGTACTTCTGTGTACACACAGACACATACACACACCTGGTACAATCATATCCATGATGCAAATATTTTAATAACAGGAAAAATAATCTAATTACTCAGTGATTCATGACATCCCTAATCTGCAACTCTTTAATGTAGTTCATATTTTTGTGAGCACCCAACAATTAAATTATTACATTGCTAGTTTTAAACTAAGATTGCTACCACTGTGAGTTGTTTTATAAATATCTGATAAGCAGGTTATATGGCATATAATCCCTTTTGGGTCTTGACCCACAAGTACTCTCAGTGTCCTGACCCTTTCCATCTTCATACTTCTCCTTACCACTTTGCAATATTTAGATAACAAACACATTCAATAAACTCTAAGCATTTTTGAAAACATGAATGTTTAATGGCTGTCTCACAACTTGAGAACTTATGATTTAGATCATTAAACTTTAAAATATTGTCTAAAAGGACTCACTTTTTTGTGACTTATAGGAAATGGAATAGTGATTAACAGTTAATGTGTAAAGCCTTAAATTTTAGATATTTATTATGTATGCTTGCATGTACATGTGTATCTGTGTGTGCTTTTGAAGCCTAGAGAGCATGTCAGATGCCATAGAGCTGGAGTCACAGGTAGATTTGAGCCACACAGTGTATGTGCTTTGGTTTGAACTCTGCACTTCTCAAGAGCAGGTAGAATTTTTAACTCTTTTTGAGGGGATAAAGTTGGAATCTTAGGTCTGATTCCTGGAACTTAGAAATAGAATTTTCAGATCACATTTTCGAAAGTATGGATTCCTGATTTTAACTTTGGAGGTTCTAGGTATTATCTTCATGCTCCCAACTATCTGCACTCTGATGATTGTGTTTTTCAGGGTCACAGCATGAACTACAGTTCAGGTGCATGTTGGTTGCACTGAGAATGACACCAAGCGTGGACATGTCACAAACAGCACTCCCAACCAGAACTAAAAGAGTATCAGGATCTCTTCAGTTTCAATCTATAACACTCTGAGACAGCCATTAAAGAATCATTCATATTTTAAACACGCTAGCGTTTCTTAAATGTGTGTGTTATCTAAATTCTTCAAAGTGGTGAGGAGAAGTATGAAGATGGGAGTAGCCAGGACACTGTGAGAGAACAACCCTGGAGTCAACTTCCAGTGTCAGTCATGCAACAGCGAGTGGAGCAGAAATATGATGAAGGAAAAGCCATTGTTTCCAGATCAATTCTTGCTGTTCCACACCAGACGAACACCCCTCTTCTTGTTTTCCTCTTTGATCCAGGGATAATGCAAAATAATCAGGTTATTTTTCTTTTCCACGTCTTGCAGTAGTATCTGTGATTCCTCACAAAATGCAGATTTGTCCAATCTGGAGTGAAAAAAGTTCTGTTTATTTTTATCACATTGATTAATTTGTGTTTATACAGGCACAGGCTACAGTGCACATGTGAGGGTCAGAGGACAGTGCATAGGAGTCCATCCTCCATGCTCTACTGTGTGGGCCCCAGGTTGTCAGGCTCGGGAACAAGTGCCTTCAACCACTGAACTATTTTACCATCCCAGATTTTAGTGGCAATCGTTTGCCTCTATTTACCCCTATAACTACCTCTCTTGGCCCCTTTTCATAGGAATGAATGAGAGGAATGTGTGAAGAGAAGGCCTTAGTCTCCTTTCTGGAGAGCAGGGACATATATAAATATATATATATATATATATATTATATAATGAATATGTCAATACTGCTTCAACCATACCTTCCTCACCACAATTTAAACTATGTCCACACACCCTAGCACTCAACATCTCATTCCTGTTTGTACATTACTCTTTATAGATCCAGTAGAGAATACAAGTCAACAGGGCACAGGTGTGAACCATTTTTTTCTCACAGAATGTTCCTTCAAATCATCTAACCAACCTTCACATATGGAGTAAGTTATCTAGACTGGACCTGAATATTAGTGTGTAAGTGTATGTGGGAAGCAGTATTTGTAAGTAGAGTTGTAGTGCTTGGTTGGGTGATTGTGTTTCCCAGGATATATGAAAATGCCTGATCAAGTTGTCCCCAGTGGAATAAATACTGGTATGGTAGTTGTAAGAGTAGCCAATCACTTTTTGATTGAATTATGATGCCTGTACCACAGTGGAGATCTAAGGTCTGCTTCTGTAAACTCTGTAAAAAATTATCATGAAGAAGGGGCAGATAAACCTTAAGAGCTGGGGGTGGGTGGGAACAAGCACTATGAAGTGCTGTCTTTTGGACATGATGATTTTATACACCAACTCAGTGATGCTGAGGTCGCCAGCACAAGACCTGCATTAAAAATTCCAACATGGATGTTGGAGGGACTCTGAGACCCAACCCCAACTGAAGAACTATTAGTAGTTGATGGCTGATGGGTGAGAATAACTTTTAAGATTTGGCTGCCTCTGCCGGTGTGTGGGAGCTCTGCCCTCTGCTCTCTGCCCAGTGTGGGGGTGGGGGAAGTCTGGCTCTCTCATCAGGCTCCTGGTTTATTGGTCCTCTGGGGCAAGTCGACTTGGCTGCAGTCCCTAGGCCAGGAGATCCCAGAGAGGGCGAGTGGAAGGAAGTGCTTCAGACCCGACTGCACCCATGGTGAGACCCATCAGAGTATTGGACCTGCTTGCACCCATCAGAAGAGAACCTTGAACCCGTAAACCAGAAGGAAAGGAAGAGGCCCCACCTGTATGCACTGAAAGAAGGGATGGGAAGACGACAATATAAAAACACATTCATCAACAGAAAAACCAATTTGATGTTACCAGAGTCTAGGGACTCTATACCAGCAAGATCTGAACATCACAATACAGATAAAGCAGAAGAGATAAACCTTAAAAACAACTTCATGAAGATGATAGAGACCCTAAAAGAAGAAATGAGAAAATGCTTTAAAGAAATGGAAGAATAGACAAACAAAAATTACAAAAAACAATTCACACAGTGCAAGATTTGAAAGCTGAAATAGAAACAATGAAAACACAGTCTGAATGAATGCTAGAATTAGAAAAGTTGAGTAAGTGATCAGGAACTACAGATGCAAGCATAACCAACAGAATACAGGGGTTAGAAGAGAGAATCTCAGGCGCTGAATATTTGCTAGGAGAAATAGATTCATTGGCCAAAGAAAATCTAAAGTCCAAAAAATCTCTAATACAAAATATCCAGGAAATATGGGACACCGTGAAAAGGCCAAATCTAAGAATAATAGGTGTAGAAGAAGGTAAAGAAACCCAACTCAAAGGGACAGAAAACATATTCAACAAAATCATAGAAGAAAACATTCCTAGCCTAAAGAAAGACAAGGCAATGAAAGTACAAGAAGCCTACAGAACACAAAATAGAGTGGACCACAAAAAAGTCCCTTCGACACATAATAATAAAAATCCCAAACATACAGAATAAAAAAGAATATTAAGAGCAGCAAAGAAAAAAGGCCAAGTAACATATAAAAGCAAACCTATCAGAATTACACCTGACTTCTCCATGGAAACTCTGAAAGCCAGAAGGTCCTGGATAGATATTCTACCAACACTAAGAGACCATGGATGCCAGCCCAGACTACTATACCTGGCAAAGCTCTCAATCACTATAGATGGAGAAAACAAGATATTCTGTAACAAAACCAGATTTAAACAATACATATCCACTAACCCAGCCCTACAGAAAATACTGGAAGGAAGACTTCAACCTAAGGAACGTAACTCCCCTCACAAAAACATAGTCGAGCCAGGCATTGGTGGCACATGCCTTTAATCCCAGTACTAGGGAGGCAGAGACAGGCGGATCTCTGTGAGTTTAAGGTCAGCCTGGTATACAAAGCATGTTCTAGGACAACCTCCAAAGCAATACAGAGAAAGCCTAACAAACAAACAAAAAACCCATAGTCAATCGATAATCCAACTTAATCAAAAGCCAAAAGAAAAAGTGGGGTAAATCTATGAACAATAATACCACCACCACCAAATAAAAAAGAAACAAGAAGTAACACTCAATGGTTCTTAATCTCCCTGAATATTAATAGTCTTAATTTGCCTATAAAAAGAAACAGGCTAATAGAATGGATATTAAGGCAGAGCCCATCCTTCTGCTGCATACAAGAAATATACCTCAACTTCAAAGACAGACATTACCTCAGAGTATAGGGTTGGGATCAGATTTTCCAATCAAATGGACCCAAGAAATAAGCTTGTATAGTTATCCTAGTATCAATCAAATTAGACTTCAAGATAAAATCAATTAACAGAGATGAAGAAGGTCATTTCATATATATCACAGGAAAAATCCATTAAGATGAAGTCTCAATTCTGAACATCTATGCTCCAAATACAAAGGCACCACATATGTAAAATAAACATTACTAAAACTCAAATCACATATACCACCTCACACAGAGTGGGAGACTTCAATACCCCACTCTCACCACTAGATAGGACCACCAGACAGAAACTTAAGAAGCAAAGGGTCTAATAGAAGTAATGACCCAATTGGGGTTTAACAGACATCTATAGAACATTTCGTCCAAATACAAAAGAATATACCTTCTTCTCAGCACCACATGGGCCCTTCTCTGAAACTGACCACATACTTGACAACATAGCAAACCTCAACAGGTGCAAAAAACTGGAAAAAAACCCTGCATCTTATCAGACCACCATACTTCAAAGTTAGAATTCAACAACAACTCAAATTGTAGAAACCCTACAAACTCATGGAAATTGAACACGCGTTGGTACCATTCCTGGGTCAAGGAAGAAAGAAGTTAAAGACTTCCTAGAATTCAATGAAAATGAAGACACAACATATCCAAACTTATGGGACACTTTGAAAGCAGTACTAAGAAGAAAGTATACAGCACTAAGTGCTAATATGAAGAAACTGGAGAATAGTTACACTAGAGAATTAACAGCACAACTGAAAGCTCTAGACCAAAAGGAGGCAAACTCACCCTGGAGGAGTAGATGCCAGGAAATAATCAAATTGAGGGTTGAAATCAATAAAGTTGAAACAAAGAAAGCAATACAAAGTATCAATGTAACAAAGAGTTGTTTTTCAAGAAAATCAACAAGGTAGACAAACCTTTATCCAAACTTACCAAAAGGCAGAGAGAGAACATGCTAATTAACAAAACCAGGAATGAAAAGGGGGACATAGCAATAGACACAGTGGAAATCCAGACAATCTTTTGGTCATACTTTGAAAACCTGTATTCCACAAAATTGGAAAATTTAAAGGAAATGGACAATTTCCTCTATAGATATCCCTGACCAAAATTAAATCCATTTTAATTTAAATAAGTAAGATAGATAAGCAACCTAAACAGATCCATAACCTCTAATGAAATTGAAGCAGTCATCAAAAGTGTCCCAACCAAAAAAGCCCTGGCTCAGATGGCTTCAGTGCAGAATTCTACCAGAGATTCAAGGAAGAGCTAATTCCAATACTCCTCAAATTGTTTCACACAATAGATGCAGGAGGTTCAATGACAAACTCTTTTTGGGTTTGGGCTACAATTACCTTAGTACCCACGCCACACAAAAACACAACTGAGAAAGAACTACAGACCAATATCCCTCATGAACATCGATGCAAAAATACTCAATAAAATACTGGCTAATCGGATCCAAGAACACATCAAAACAATCATTCACCACGATCAAGTAGGTTTCATCCCAGGGATGCAGGGATGATTCAACATATGAAAATCCATCAATGTAATCCACCATATAAACAAGCTGAGAAACAAAAATCACATGGTCATCTCACTAGATGCTGAAAAAGCCTTTGACAATGTCCAACACCCATTCATGATAAAGGTCTTGTAGAGATCTGTGATAACAGGGACATACCTAAACATAATAAAAGGTATATACAGCAAACCAACAGCCAACATCAAACTGAATGGAGAAAAACTCAAGGCAATTCCTCTAAAATCAGAAACAAGATAAGACTGTCCCCTCTCCCCATACCTCTTCAGTATTGTACTTGAAGTTCTAGCTAGAGCAATAAGACAACAAAAGGGGATCAAGGGGATACAAGTCTGAAAGGAAGAGGCCAAACTTTCACTATTTGCAGATGATATGATAGTTTACATAAGTGACCCAAAAACCTCTACCAGGGAACCCTTACAGCTGATAAACACCTTCAGCAAAGTGGCAGGATATAAGATCAACTCAAGAAAATCAGTAGCCCTACTATATACAGATGATAAATGGGCTGAGAAAGAAATCAGAGAAGCATCACCCTTTACAATTGCCACAAACAACATAAAATACCTTGGGGTAATGCTAACCAAACAAGTGAAAGACCTGTATGACAAGAACTTTGAGTCTTTAAAGAAAGAAATTAGACACCAGAAAATGGAAAGATCTCCTATGCTCTTGGATAGGTAGGATCAATATAGTGAAAATGGCAATCCTGCCAAAAGCAATCTACAGACTCAATGCAATCCCCATTAAAATCCCAGCACATTTCTTCACAGACCTTGAAAGAACAATTCTCAATTTTATACAGTAAAACAAAAAACCCAGGATAGCCAAGAAAACCCTGCTCAACAAAGCAACGTCTGGAGGCATCACCATTCCTGACTTCAAGCTCTATTATAGAGTTTCAGTCCTGAAAACAGCTTGGTATTGGCACAAAAATAGACAGGTAGACCAATGGAATTGAATTGAACACCCTGAGATTAATCCACAAACCTATGAACACCTGATTTTTGACAAAGAAGCTAAAATTATACAATGGGAAAAAGCATCTTTAATAAATGGTGCTGGCATAACTGGATATGGGCATGCAGAAGACTGCAGATGGACCCATGTCTATTGCTATTCACAAAACTTAAGTCGGATCAAAGACCTCAGCATAAATCCAGCCACATTGAACCGCTTAGAAGAGAAAGTGGGAGGTACTCTTCAGTGAATTGGTATAGGAGACAGCTTCCTGAACATAACACCAGTAGTACAGACATTGAAATTGACAATTGAAGAAATGGGACCTCCTGAAACTGAGAAGCTTCTGTAAGGCAATGTACACAATCAATATTACAGAAAGGCATCACACAGAATGTGAAAAGGCATTCACTAATCCCACATCTGACAGAGGACTGATATCCAATATTAAAAAGAACTCAAGGAGCAAGTCTCCAAATACCAAAGGATCCAGTTAAAAAATGGTGTACAGAACTAAATAGAGCATTCTCAATAGGGGAGTCTAAAATGGCTAAGAGACACATGAGAAAGTGCTCAACATCCTTATCCATCAGGGAAATGCAAATCAAAACATCTCTGAGATACCACCTCACTCCTGTCAGAATGGTTAAAATACAAAAAAACCCACCACTGATAGTTTATGCTGGAGAGGATGTGGAGAGAGGGGAACACTCCTCCACTGCTGGTGGGAGTGCCAACTTGTACAGCCACTTTGGAAATCAGTATGGAGATTCCTCAGGAAAATGGGAATCAGTCTACCACAAGATCCAGCAATTCCACTCAAAAGATACACATTCATACAACAAGGATATCTATTCCACTATGTTCATAGTAGCATTATTTGTAATAGCCAGAACCTGGAAGCAACCTAGATACCCCTCAACTCAAGAATGAATAGAGAAAATGAGGTACATTTACACAATGGAGTACTACTCAGAGGAAAAAACCCACAATGGAATCTTGAAATTTGCAGGCAAATGGATGGCACTGGAAGAAACCATTCTGAGTTAGGCAACCCATTCACAAAAAGACAAACATGGTATGTACTCACTCATAAATGGATTTTAGACATGGATCATGGGAGTGCCAGCATACAACCCTACTGCCAGAGAATCTGGAAAACAGGGAGGACCCTAAGAGAGATATGCATGGTACCCCAGAGAAGGAGAATAGGACAGGATCTCTTGAGGGGATTGGGGGCATTGGGGGAGGGGAGAGGGAGCTGAGAGAAAGAGGGGTAGAAAAGGTGGGGAGAGGAGGACATGTGGGATTAGGAAGGTTGAGCTGGGGAAAGAATAGAGGAGAGCAGGATGAGAGATACCATAATAGAGGGAGCTATTATAGGTTTAAAGAGAGATCTGGCACTAGTACTATTTCCAGAGATTTTTGACGATGACACCAACTGGCAATCTAACCAATACTGGAGAGGTTTAAATGCCCTTCCCCGATAATGAGATTGACGACTGCCTTTTATGCCATCTTAGAGCCTTCATCCAGTGACTGACGGAACCAGAGGCAGACACCCACAGCTAAACACTGAACTGAACTCTTGGAAACCAGTTGCAGAGAGGGAGGATTGATGAGCAAAGGGGTGAAGACTGGACCGGTGAAACCCACAGAAACAGCTGACCTGAACAAGGGGGAGCTCATGGACCCCAGACTGATAGCTGAGAGGCCAGCATGAGACTGATCCAGAACCCCTGAAGGTGGTTGTCAGTGAGGTGACCTTGGCTTTCTTTGGAGCCTTGGCCAATAGATCAGTATTTATCCCTGGCATCCAAACGGACTTTGAGAGCCCATTCCACATGGGGTTGGGCCTAGGCCCTGACCTGGATGATATGACATACGTTAGAGACCCCCATGAAGACCTCACCCTCCCTGGAGAGTGGAGGGGAGACTGGGTGGAGCGTTGGGGGGTTTGGTGGGGGCAGGGGAAGATGGGAGTGAGAGGTAGCTGGGATTGACATATGAAGCAAGCTTGTTTCTAATTTAAATAAAAAATAAAAGAAAAGATTTGGCTGTTGGTAGGTTGCCCATGCCCCAATGGATGACCCCATACCCATAGGTATATCGTCAATAGGAGTTAGAGTCAGGGTGTTAGTAATTGTGATTTGAGGGTATTGGGGGTTATTGTTTGTTAGTGGAGGTTGGAATATAATCAAAACATTATATATATATGAACATTTCAAACAATAAATAAAAAATATTATTAAAATTAACTTCTGGGCTAGAGAGGTGGCTCAGTGGTCAAGAGCACTGGGAGCTTATTTAGATGTCTAGCATTCAGTTATAAAAACTCACATGCTGGCACAGAGCCATTGTAACTCCATCACAAGGGATCTGATGCACTCTTCTGGTCTTTGCAGGCAATGGGCAGCCGTGTCATGCATAAAATTACGTTTTTTTTTCAGAAAACAATATGCAAAAACTAAGATTAGTTTGGTATTGAAAATGTGTTTTTCCTTGAGAGGCCATTTAAATGACTTACACAAAGTATGCTGTGTATGTGAACTGATACTTAAACAATTTTTAACTTTTTATTGCCTTCTCTTGTTTTTTCTAAATGTCATATGATACCCATATATTACATTTGTGTGTGTGTGTGTGTGTGTGTGTGTGTGTGTGTGTGTTATAGACTAGGATCAGTGTATTTGTGTGAACATGTGCTTTTTTCCCATTGTGAGATTAGGTGACTCTTTTTGCTATGCTTCTGAAAATATTATGATTTTATTTTCTTCAGAGCTGAATAATATTTTTAAAAAGCCAAGTGTTTTTAAAAGTTGTCTGATGATGTTTGGATAATCACCATCAGCAGGTGGCACTCAAGAGTGGATATAAATCCATGGATGGTCTTCAATGTCCTACAGCACAAAGGTGGTCCTTTCACAACAGAACTCTCCCACTCAGGGTTAATGGGACTGAGCTTGAGAAAACCATCACATAAGAGCTTGCTCTGAAGTCACTCCCAATCCTGGGAGACAATGAGTACTCACCCCAGCACCTTCAAGTTACAGGCTCTGTGATTCAAAGCCTCACACAGGAGCTCCAGACCATTGTGGCCCAAGGTCATCCAGTCCAGGCTCAGGACGGTCAGTGTTTTGCATGTGGTGAGAGCCAAGGCTAGGTCTGCACAAGAGTCAGTGGTAAATTCACACATGTCCAACCTGTGGCAGGGGAAATACCAGAAAAGAGGTGTAGTAATTGGTCACAGTTCCAGCCTTCAGAGCAAAGAGATCCGTAGCTCCAAATGTCAACAGTAAGCAGAAACACTAAACAAGTCCAGGTCCCATGGAAAAGTATTTATGGTTATTTGAGAATTTCATGAATGTGTACAATGTATCTTAATTATGCCTGTCTACTACGAACACTTCCTCCCAGGGCTCCTTATTCATACCCCAAGCAACTTCATAATCTTTGAAACCCACTAAGTTAGTGATGCTCAACCTGTAGGTTACCATCCCCTTTGGGGTCAACTGACCCTTTCACAGGGGTCCTATGTCAGACATCTGCACATCAGATATGTACATTGTGATTCATAACAGTGGCAAATTTATAGTTCTGAAGGAGCAACCAAAATTGTCTTATGGATAGAGGTCACTGTACTAAGTTCAAATATCATTGCCTTAGGTACTTGAGTTTAGGACAGTCCACTGAGGCACAGGTAACCAGGCCAACCGCTCTGAATAAAACTGACTCTCATTTCCCCAGCAGCCATGAACTGCAGATAGCTGCTCAGTTAGGGCTAGGGTTTCTGCAGAGCCTCTGTCTTCCATTCTCTGATTTTCCCTGGCTTGCCTCATGCCAGGCACTGTAAATTGCTGAACATCCTGTGACTGGGCAAGTCATAGGACCTAAGGGAGAACTCATTACTACTGCTTTGCTTAGTGGACATAACGAATCTACCTTCTAAATCAGTGGTTCTTAACTTTCTTACTACTGTGACCATTTAATATAGGTCCTCATATTGTGGTGACCCCTCAATCACAAAATTATTTTTATTGCTATTTTATAACTGTAGTTTTTCTGATTGTAAGAATCATGATAGAAATATCTGTGTTTTCTGATGGTCTTAGGCGACCCCTGTGAAAGGGTCATTTGACCCCCAAAGAGGTCATGACCCTCAGCCTGAGAACCATTGTTCTAAATGAGTAGCATTAACCCTATGTTATCTCAGTCCTCAACCCTCATTAGAGAAGCATCCTTTTGCAATGGACTGGTCAATATTCCGATAGTGACTACAAACGTCTCAGCCTCAAACGGAACATCTATATCACCCCTTCACCCAAGACCCAGAAACATCACAGAAAGACTAGAAGAACCAGATAATGTGGTGGAAAGAAACATGAAAGAGCCATTATTCTCAAACCCACAGCAACTGTTGTCTGTTCAAGACCTGCGCATTAATATTTTTCTATTAATGAGGAAATAATGTGGCTAGGTGGAGTTCTCCTTAATCCCATTGTCTTATTGGGGTTTCTATTGCCGTGAAGAGACACCATGGCACAGTAATTCTTATGACAGAAAAACATCCAGTTGTGTGGCTTTCGTTCAGCTCAGAGGTTCAGTCTGTCACTGTCACAGCGAGGCATGGTGGCATGCAGGCAGGCAGAAGCAGCTGGAGAAGCAGCTGAGGGCTTTTACATCTTGACCCACAGGCCAAAGGAAGTGGTCTGAACACACTAGATGTGGCTTGAACATACGAGACCTCAAAACCCACCTCCCCAGTGACACTTCCTCCAACAGTACCACACCTACTACAATAAGACCACCCATCCTAATGGTGCCACTCCCTTTGGGGACCGTTTTTTTAGAAACCACGACACCTATTAACCCCCCATGTTTTCCTCATTGATTCGTGAACCTTTCCCGCTGTGAAAGTAGTAACTCACCCAAGACACTGCAATTTACATCCAGGGTTCCTCAGAGCTTCACATAACTGTTTGATGCCTGTGTCTTGTATGTTATTGCTGCCCAGTTTCAGTGTCTTTAGATTTTGATTGCACGAAAGGACAGCAGAAATCGCCTTACAGCAGTCTGAAGTCAGATAGCAACCAGACAACCTGGGAAAACATGCATGCAAACATACTGATTTATTATGAGACCCAATCCTTTTGTTTTGAATTATTATTAATCTGTTAGAAGTTCATATGAGCCTTCAATTCCAGTTCCTCCCAATTTCCCAGAATTGCTTTATATATATACATATATATGCATGCATATATACGTGCATGTGGACACATGCATACATACTTCTGCATGAATATGTAACCTAAGTTCATTTAGATTTGCTTGTATGTGCCATATGTCCAGTGGTTGTATAACCCTCTACAGCTTCTCTGTGTAGGAGATCCATTTTCCCTCTCAGCAGCCATTCCTTGACCATCTTCCATTTTTGATACAGGGTCTCATGTCCTAGTCTGGCACGAGAATCCTTGCATAGCTGAGGATGACCTTGAGCTTCTGACCCTCCTACATCTACCTCCAAGTGCAGAGATCATAGGTTATTAGTTGTCACACCCTTTTTAAAAGCCCTGCGGAGACTCAGTCTCAGGGCTCTGCATATGCTAAGTCAGCATTCTACCAACTGACCTTCATCCCTAGGCCACACGATTCCATCTTAATGGCTTGGTGTATTTCCACTTATTTGTATGAACCAGAAATGCCCAAGACTTCTGAAATATTGAGGATGCTTCTCCATCTGCTGTACTCTGCTCCATGCTGGCTCACTGTAATCTTACCTCGATCGCTGCATCTACTGTTTCTATTTTCACTCCCCCACTGGTGAAATTACAGATGTCCTGATAAGTGGCGCTACCTTATCCCTGATTTCAGATTTTTGTGCAGATGTTATCATGTGGCGAACTTCTGCCAGTATTTTACATAACATGTCCTCAACTCCTCCCTAAGCCACAAGTTCATGGTTCCCCATGCCACTTACAATAATGGTTAAGAGATAGGTTGGGGCAGAGCAGGAAGATAGGTGAGGGAGAATGTGAAGTTGATGCATGCATAGATGTTAAATATTGACATTAGTCAGGTACATGTTAGATGTATAGTGAACATACAATAATGAATATAATATGTTTACACTGATAATGGATAGGTGATATGCAGATTATTATAGGAGGAGATGTATAATATGTAAGTAAAGACAATAAAACTTTAGATGGGAGAAAATGGAAAGATGTTAAATTCATAGATGACAGATAATAGGTGGGAGGTTATAGGATAGGCAGATAGATATGTTAATGAATACGTAAGCATATATGCATAGGTTCATGATTGATGGATTTATATATATGTATGATTTATGCAGGTATAATATGCATGTGTATTAGTGTTTCTCAAGCATGGGTGAATTTTACTCTCCAAGGATGCCTGTAGCCTCTGGGACTCCCTTCATCAGGGTAGTAATTCCACTCCTGGGAAGTCACCTTCATGACCCAATCACCAAGGGCTCCATGTCTTAAGATATTCATCATGGGTGATAAGCGTCAACACACTCTCAGGGGACACTGACATTCAGATAATTCTACCCTCCTTCCTACTGATCACCAACATCAGTAACCACATCTCCAGCAATGGATGAGAACATAGCCCTACCATAACTCCCGCAGGTTACATCGTGGGTCTTTCAAAGCTTCACAGAGAATGTTCACTCCAGTATCTTCCAGGAAATTTGAGCTCAAGTCAAGCAGAGAGAGGTATTTGTTGTGTAAAAGGGCTTCATAGAGATGGCCACAGGCAATGAAGGTGAAACAGCAGTATGACAACCTGCAAAAGAGGAGTCCACACCAGCAGCTCACTTATTCTCACATTACATGCCTCTGCAAAATAATGTTCTCCCTATACTGAATTTCCACTTTGCATGAAAACATTGAATGGGTTTCTGGGAAGGCTTCACAGGCAAAAGCCCTGGGCATCAAGTCTGAGTACCCTAGTTCAATTCCTCATGATGGAAGTAAATAAGCAACCCCATATGTTGTTTTCTGTCCTCCATATGTGTGTGATTACATATACACACACACATGATGGAAACATTTTCAAAGGAAAGTTTTGAAAACCTGAGGTTATACATCAACAGAGATGCTATTAAAACTGATTTGTCAACTTATTTGCAAAACAATTAACAAGTTCTTCCACTTATATGAGAAACTCAACATCTTGCAGACTCCTGCCCTCATGGAATATCTTCCATTAATTTCTTTTTGTTCTCTGTGTGAGTGTGTATATATCTCAGTACAGGTGCCCATGCAGGTGATGTCAGAGGAAAAGCTCAGATGTCACCCGATGGATCACCACCCACATACTTTGAGACAGGGTTTCTCAGTTGCCTCTAACTTATTTGTTAGTCTTGGCTGTAGTCTAGTGAGCCCTGGGGATCCTACTGTCTCCAGATCTTCAGTGTGTTACCATACCTGGCTTTTTCACATGGGCTCTGGGAATGAAACTCAGGTCATCATACAAGATTGACAAGTTTTTACTCACTTATCTCTTACTCCACCCCATTTCCATTATTTTATTTGAAATATAGTTCATAATCCTGTCATCTGTATGCTTGAAAGACTTGAAAGACTAGATGATATTTGAAATAACTCATGCCTAATGTAGTTCTGTATAATTACTAGTCACCAAGTGTAATTTAATTCTATCTATTCTGTAACTAGTACTTAAATAACCAAATTACTTTGCCTTCTAATGTTATTTTTTCCTATCTCTTCTGAAACATCCTTCTTTTTCTATATTGTATTTTTCTGTTTCTTTTACAAGTTTCATTTAAGGATGGGAGAGATGGTGCTGCGTTTAAGATCACTGCTGTTCATTCAGAGAAACCGGGGTTCAGGGCTAAGTACTCACATTAACACCTACATGGTGCACACAAAACTCCTGTAACTAGAATCCCATGCTCTTGGATAGAACTCTCATCCAGTGGCTGATGGAGACGGAGGTAGACACCCACAGCTGTGAACCGAATTGAACTCCATTTGCAAAGAGAAATGATGACCAAGGGAATCGGGATCGGGCTGGTGAGGCCCACAGGGGCAGCTGACGTAAACAAGGGGCATCACATGGACCCCAGACTGATGATTGGGGGGCCAGCATGGGACTGATCCAGACATCCTCCCACCGAACCTGGGTGACAGAGTGGAGGCCTTGACAATCTGTGGGACCTTGGAGAGTGGAGTAGTATTTATTCCTGTCATACAGAGGGACTATGGGAGCCCACGCCACGTGGAGGGATGCTCTCTCAACCTGGACACATGGGGAAGAACCTGGGCCATTCCCGGGATGATGTGATGGACTCTGGAAATCCCTTATGGAGGCCTTTGCCCTCCCTGGGGAGTGGAGGGAGGATGAAGTGGGGGTAAGGGGTTGGGAGGATTGGGGGTGGGGGAGGAGGGGAGGGAGAGGGAACTGAAAGTGACATGTATAAAAAGTTAAAAATATGGAAAAAAGAGGAAAAATATAGGGTCATTTAAAATAACTGGAAGGAAAATATTTGATAAATATCCAACCTTAATGAATGAGGTAAAAAATCTTTCAATGTCAGGAAAAAAATAATATTAATTTAATAAAAATACTGAAAACAAAAAATTCCATGGAACTATTGACTTTTTCTGGCCTCTGCAGGTTTATGCACTCATGTGGTACACAGAAAATTACTCAGGTAATATCCAGCCCAGGTCAAAACACAAAGGCACTGAAAATATTATAAAAAACCACACCCAAGCTGTGTGCACAAATTTTATATACCATGCTAATAAGTTTCATGTTTGGACTTAGCGAACATCTCCAAGACTCATGACCTGCAAATATTCCAAAATATAAGTGCAATATAAAACATTTCTGGTCTAGTCATAAGCAGTTTATGAACAGTACTCAATTTGCAGGTTTTCTTCTTCTGTAAACAGATGTCTCCATAAAGGTCAGTATTCAAAGCTCTTATATTTTATATGTATGTTCATGTCTGTAAGCTGCACATGTATGTATTGCTGTATGAATACATAATCACAGAGGACACAATTAATTTTGTGTCTGGATACTCTTTCTCTTCAACGAACCCAGGTGTCTTTGATCACATTCCCCATTTAAGGTCTTTGGTTGATGGGACGATAAGTTATCTGGTATGGCTTCCTTGAGACAATAGACTGGCAGTCTGCTACTATGAGCAATCAACCTCAACTTCAGGGCAGGAGACAGCACATCGTGTCTTAGGTAATATGTAGGAAGGCCTGCCTAGGAAAGGAATATTTTTTTCTTATTTATATTCTCCTCTGGCCTAGTGGCCAGTCTCTTTCCAGGGGCATCATCTCTTCCCATAATAATCATATCCATCAAGATAAATTTTATATAAGTGATTTCTGAGCTACCCTTGCCTTTTTTGAAGTTGATCTGATGGTATTCTCTGTTTGCATCTGCTCCACTTACTTATATTGCAACTGAGACAGAGTCAAGTGACTGAGTTTAGTGACACATCTAATTTTCTCCTGTATTCCTTACTGGGAATTTGACCCCCCTTTATGATGATTGCACCCATATTCAGTGTTCTGAAATATTTCCATGGCATGCTACCCCAGACCAACTCACATGAGTGTCTCCAGGACACAGCTTGGATGCTTCAGGATTTCACACACTAACATTACTCCTTTGTTCTTCAAGGGATTTTCAACCAATGAGAGATGTTTCACCTTGCATTTGGTTAGGGAAGTAGCAATTACACCACAAGCCTCACTGGAGATGTCACATTTCCCCAATCTGTACGTGAGATATATGTCACAGGTTAGGAGTAGCATCTTTAGGTGATCTATGTACAAACAAATGCCACAGATTATAATACTGTACATACCAGTCCACATCTACATCAAGGCTTATCTTATGCATAAGCACAATTATATAAGTATAATTGTGAATTATAGTGATCTGCTGGTTGAGAAAAAGTCCAACCTAGTGGTTTTCAGCTATGGGTGACTTTTACTTTCAAAGATCCATTTAGAAATGTCTGGTGAGGTTATTGTTGGTCACAAAAACCAACAGAGAGATAGGGTTGGAATGTACTGGGTAGAAACCATGGCCTTTAATGCACAGATAGACTCCATCACTAAAATATGGTCCTTACACATATCAGCGAAACACACACACACACACACACACACACACACACACACCCCACAGAGGCTCATTTTTCACAAGGAGAAACATAACTATCATAATGAAACTCAAAGCTTTCAGAATGAAGTGCAAAGCTTTCAAAGTTATGTCTAAAAAGTAATTTTTAAAATAATCTCAGAAAAGCTACTGGATTTAGGCAATGCCCTGACTTACAGCAGCTCCTCCACTCTGCATGATGGGGATTTCAGCACACAGCACATATTCTCAACCACATCATTGGAGAGATTAGTGCCATAGAGGTTCAAGGATTTCAGGTGAGGTAGTTGGAGAAGTGTGTGAAATAACAAACCACATCCAAAGTTAGTCAGGTAGGAGCACCTGTAGAATAAGGTCAAATGGTACATTACACCAGACGGTGTGGGTACACAGCAAAGCAACTTGTACACACTGCACTTCACCTCAAACACCATGTTTTTTTGGGCACTCTGTTTACCCCACAAGTTCTCAGTGGTTATCTCTAGGTACCAGACAAACACAGAGATACTCACATCTCTCCCCTTCTATTCCCCCCCCCACTTCTGTGTAACATGTAGAATGTTTCGAGGAGACTCACACACACACCCTCATGTTAAACTCTAAACATTGTCTGTAATGGCTAATCAAGGTTTTTCCAATTCAACATTATCTGGGTAAAGGAACCTGAATTCTGGAATTGCCTCCTCCAGATTGGTATGCCTGTGGGCATTTTCTTAACAGGTAATTGGCCTAGAGCTGCCACTGTGAGTAGCATTACACATGGGCAGGTAGATCTGATTCGAATAAGAAAGATTGTTGAGCAGGCCAGGGGGAAACAAGTCAGGGAGCAGCATTTCTCCATGGTCTCTGCTTTGGTTCCAATCTTCAGGTTCCTACCCTGAATTCCCTTGGTGATGGATTATGGATTATGAACCAGGAATGGTAAAACAGAATACGCCCTTTCCTTTACTAGGCTGCTTTTGGTGGTGGTATCTACGACAGAAGCAGGAACCAAAGCAGAATGACACATTATAATACAGATGCTTATGTTTGTATTAATGCTCCCCTCTGTGTGTCCCAAAGGAAGGGTCCATTTCTCCTTAAGGACTAATGCTTTGTTGATGTCTGAGACATGGTTTCTCTGTGCAACCCTGAGTGTCTTGAAACTCACTCTGTAGACCAGGCTGGCCTCAGACTGAGAAGTCTGTCTTCCTCTCCCTCACAAGTGCTGGGATAAAAGGCGTGTACCCCCCACTTTCTGGTTTAGTAAGCCCTAAAACTTTTTCAGGCATCAATATCTATAATATTCTTATACTGGGGTTCAGAGCTCAGGATAATCAGGTGTGCCTGTTTTTGTTTTTATTTGCTCCATTCAAGGTTGGGAAAAGGTAACTAAACTTATGTCTGGTCATGTCGTCTTGATAAGAAATAGATGTCAGCGTGATCACTAAAAAAAATAATCATTGGGCTGGACAGATGGCTCAGTGGTTAAGCACATACTTCTCTTACAGATGATTGGAATTCTGTTCCTAGCACCCATGCTGGGCAGCCAATGACTTAATATAATTCTGAATCCACAACACCCAATTCAGATGCTCACATACGTATGTACAATCAAAATAATCTTTAAATTGAACTTTTCATGAACATTCATTGCAGTCTCTAGAACACAGTCAATAACTTTTGGCTGTGTACATGCATACCCATACAACACACACACACACACACACACACACACACACACACACACTAGATGTATAGATATTTACAAACCACCTATAAATCAGATGTATGTGTGTGTGACATAGAAAACTTCAAACATGTGACTCCTACTGATATTGTATTTGCTACTTTGGATTTTACCTCTGCATTTCTTTATGAATTTGTCTTCAAGTAGAGAAGAAATTTCTTTAATCTGCTTAAAGGATAGGTGACTATCAAACTTACGAGAAGCTTTGGAGCTTAAATGCATTCAGAGGCCCCCTATGGGTTGGAGACATTGATAGATAAAGAAGAAAAATCACTGTTACATTGAATTTACAGCTGTCCAGATCCAACACTTCCAAGTTCTGGAAAACTCTGCATAACATACGCCAATGTTTGATTGCATTGCTGCAATGAGATAACACACCATTATTCTCTTGTGGCTCAATGCAATTCAAGATATTCCTAAGATGGGGAGATCACTCCCAACCCCTTGAAGGGGTATACATGGTACATAGACATACATGCAGACAATGCACTCCTACACTTTAAAGAAAAGAAAATAAATCTCTAGAAAAGAAAGTAAATTAGAGAGAGAGAGAGAGAGAGAGAGAGAGAGAGAGAGAGAGAGAGAGAGAGAGAGAGAGAGAGAGAGAGAGAGAATATACTGTGGCTACAAATGGCATCTTCTGGGCATGGTATATCCATTGCAGTCTTAATACCACAGGAGCTGTGGATGCCTCCACTTCCTGTAATAGACCTGGTCTGTTCCCACTCAATAATAAACTTTGGAGAGACTTACACAGCTCAACCCACCACCACTAGAATATTGACTACAGGTCGATTCTAGGGGAATGAGAAGTCATCTCCAGTTTTATACACACAAGTCAGCCCACCAGGTACTAATAATGCACAGTTCCAAACCCATGAACTTACCAATAGCTCTAGTTAAGCTCAGTGGCTGACTAAAAATAGACATGAATGTGAGAAAGAATCTTTTGAAGAAGTTGGGGTGATGGGGTGGAAGGGAAACAGAACCAAGCGGAAGGTGAGAGCAGCTACAATGCATGATGTATTGGTATGGAATTGCAAATGAATGTATTGAGTAAAAATGATAAAAAAGGTGCATGGATTGAGGTGAGATGAACTAAATTGAGTTTTTGGGAGACTCACTGCTAACAGCTAAGCATAATTGCTGAAGACATCCACCCTTACACTGTTCTCTACTGTCTCTTTCATTGAGAAAACATGATTTCTGTGTGAACTCAGGTAGATATTTGGGACTCTTGAGTGATAGCAACCTAATCCAATAATATAATCATAAAAGGTGTTACATGTTACACATTTGAAAGAGTTAGCAGCCTAAAGGTAATGCAAGGCAAGCCAACCAGAGCAATGTGGTATGAACACAGCCTTAAACCAGACATGAGTTCCCAGAATCCTCTTCAGTGTAGTCACCCGAAAACTAAACATGCTATGGATGAAGGAAAAGAGCCAGACATTGCGACAAAGCTGACACTGGCCTGTAACAACTTTGTTCTTTGTATAAATGGAGGAACTCAAGACATGGCTGTTTAGGGCCACAAAGATCCAAACAGCAATGGCAACGTACAACAGAGAGCCTTTCTGACTATGCCTTCTAAACACTCAAGCATAGACATATGAGAACTTAAGAAATACCATACTGGAGACAGCAATCTGTGGGTAGGAATTTTCTGCACAAGCATGAGGAACTGAGTTCCAATCCACAGACTCACTTAAAAGGCTGGACATGGATGCATGAGAATGTTGTCCTAGCATCAGAAAAGGGAATGCAGGTAGATCCTGATATCTTACTGGGCTGTTAGACTGTTCAAGATGGTGAGCTTCAAGGTTGATAGGAGACTGTCTCAAGGAATAATGATGGAAGACCATAGAGAAGCATCCCACCTCTTCCTCTGACTTCTTCACAAGCTCATATGGACACAAACACACCCATGAAATAATGGACTGGAAACTAAGGCGAAACAAGGTTCAGAGATCCACTCACTTTTTTTCATGTTTAAAGACTTCTAAGTCACCGTCTTCTGGGTTGTAGATTTCTGAAAACACTCTTTGTTGTATATGCAGATGAAGTTTCTTTAAACTTTGAGACTTCAGCAGACAGGTTGTAGCCACTGACAATACATCAGCACTGCTGATGTCAACAGTCATTTCTTCAAACATATCCATTACTTGTGTTATAAATTGTTCCTCTTGGTTTTCGACCAGGCTATCAAACAAACTCTGAGGACTAATCAGTTTCTCACCGCATTCTCCTTGACTCAAACTTCTAAAGCATTTGAAGATTTCCTGTCTCATCTTTTCACATGGTATAAACCCAAAATGTGGTTCCAGAATGGCAGCAATTTTTTCAGTGGCAATTCCAAACACAAACTTCCCTGTGAGGAGCCATTGGTTTTGGCCATGAGCATAAATTTCCCTTAGAAGTTGGGGTAGACTTCCAATGATGGGGTGATGTTTGTCTTTGTCTTGTCTGAGGAAATAGAACAGGGCAGCAAAATACAACTGCAGTGCAGGATGGTAAAACACAAAACAGTCACCTCTTGTATTTAGAAAATACATTTTCATCCACAGTATCTGCTCAGATTCAGATATCCCATTCCTGAGGAGATCCTCATACTTAAACACAAATACAGATTTCCACATTCCCTCCACAGCCAAGGTACACAGGGTCATTAATTTGTTCCTGTTCTGTCTTGATGGATAGCCGGCATACTTTGCTCTGAATGAGCTCACCATAAAGCTTGTGTACAAAACTGAATCTGGTTTAAAAGCTATGTTCAATTTCTCTCCCCTCTTAAACTGACACTTTAAAGTACGGCAGACCATCCAGCGTTTATAAGGATTTTTGCATAAAGTGAGTAATAGTTGAATGGCTTGCAAATAATTAAAGATTTCTGAGCCTTTTTTGAAACTGTGCATGAAAGAACAACAATAGTACTTTACAGACGCCTCAGTGTATCCCCCAATAGTTATTTCCCTTGGTTTCTGTAGCAATGGATAGATTTTTGGTACACTTAGGTTTCCCAATTCAAGAAGCAGAGAGGATTCTTGGAGCATTACTTTCTGTAGCAAACTGCTCAAGACAATCTGTGTTGGTGCCTTCTTTCTCCAGTCATTGCACAAGTTTGTCTGGAGTCCCAAGTCAAATTTCAGGTAGTCAAATCCCTCCAGAATAAACAAGATTCTCCTAGGATCAGATACGATATCCTCCAGTGTCTCTGAAGACTCAGACAACTTACTTAAGATGAGCTGAGCTAAGCTTAACTCTGTGATGTTGTTAAGTGACATGAGAGAGAAGAAGAAAACATAGTGAAATCTGTTCTGCCACAAGTCTCCTGCTGCCCAGTCCAGCATTGCTTTTCTTAAGAAAGTGGTTTTTCCTTCTCCTTTATTACCCAGGATGACTGCAGTGACTGACTCTAGCTGAAGATCAAATATATCTTTCAATGTTCTGTGCTGCATTTCTGTAATGATGTTGTATTCATGACTAGGCACATGAATGTAGTTCTCGAAGTCCCATATGTATTTAAATATAATCTCCATAGTCTCTTTGTATGGTCTTCGTTCATCTGAGTTGGATGAAATCAGACCACAAGGCAGTTAGGAATAGGATACTCTGAGAATGAATATACACACCTGGATGACCATGGGTCCCAAGGGAAGGACAAAAGGAGAGTCACCCACCCCTTCCCCTGTAATAATGTTCCATTTCCCTTCAGCTGATACAGAATTTTCTTTTTGTTACATTACAAAGAATGTTTAGGCCCGACCCTAGCCCCATTCAACCAACCAGTTCTTTCTACCTTCATACCTCAAGATAGAGACCTCTACTGCACGCAAGCCTTTCCATGCTTGTGACCATGTGTGGGAAGAGTTAACTGACTCTTGACTGAGTCAAACCCTGTGCTAAAGTGGGTACATGAGTATTTTAGGGTCAATAGAAGAAAAGGGTGATCTCCAGATAGCAGTGGTACTTAAACCAAAGTAAAAGCTCAGACCCTTCTAGACTCAATAGTCTTCATATATAGGACCACTTCAACATATAAAACCTAAAATTGACAATAAATTTTACTTTCACTTTCCTTGGGACTCTTCCATTAATTTATTTAATTCACAGAGAAAGAACTCACCATGTGGCCAGACTAATCATGGTACACTCATGGCCCTGAAGCCCAGACCCTCAGTTGGTAATTTAACACCATTGAGGATGATAATGTTATTTGAAACATGGCCTGTAAAAGTGTTATGAGCAAACTAGAGACTCACCTCTGAATGACAGCTAATGTAAAGCATGAATTCTGGGTGCTGCATTACAGATTTGCAAAGGTCATGGTACCTTCCCAAGAGTACTTCATTTGTACGTAATTTCATGAGTGAGGACTCAGAGTACTATTATTCATTGTAAAACTTTCATGCCTTCAGTAAGTCATTTACTAGTCATCCTATTTATAACTTTCAGTTAATATACACATTTATAGTGCTATGTTTAGTCAAAGCAAAATTTGACTCTGGTAACAAGACATAGTGAAATGAACTTTGGGCTTACGGTTCAAAGTCCATGGAAAACAAGCCTGAACAGGCTGTCAGATTGTCCTGTGCTCATTCACAAGCATCTCAAAACTTCAGATACATTATTAAAGTATCTAGATCTATGCACACATGCGAACACACACACACACACACACACACACACGAGTTTTGTTCCCCAGTAGGTGGTCATGTTTGTAAGGTTTTAGAGGTGTGGCCTTCCTGGAGAAGGACGTTGCTTGGGGAAGGCACTAAGATTTTATAGTCTCAACCTACTTCCAGTTCATTCTCTTGGCTTCATGCTTTCATTTGTGGTATAATTTCAGCTTCCTGCTCCAGTCACTACGCCTGTATCTTGTCATACTTCTCTCCATCACTTTGGAACCCTAAGCCGTAATAAACTCTTTTCATGATTTGTTTTAGACCACGGTGTTTTGTCACAGCAACAGGAAAGCACCTGATACAATACCCATGTCGTTTTACTGTCCAGGTCTCATATGCATGCATCTACTTGGTTTTGCCAAATTAATGGATTTTATTCCCCAAGAGGAAACAGATTTAGTGACATTGACCATCTTGATGCATCTGACTAGGAAACAAGTCACATGACTAGGGACCACCTAAATGATGCACATGGTTCCAGACTCAAGATAATTTTTTGGTGGGCACTTCTGACACACACACCATCTACTATATCATAGTTGTGCCAAAGGGTTATGAACAACAACGTGGAACAAGAATATAGTTTATATGCATCTGAAATGTGGGATGATGTGTTGGTATACTGTTTTCTCTGGAAGGATTGTGACATTCCTCCCACCTAGAGATAACACAACATTATAAATTTGAGTTCTTCCTCTACTGTCTCAAGAAATTCATAGGAAATAAAGGTAAGGTCTCTAGGAAAGGAGATGAAGGACTATTCTCAGCACCTCATGTCTGCTCTAAAGGATGAGTAAGTGCTAAAATAGGACTCCATCTCAGCTGAGTGTGTCACTGTGCACCTGGAAGCTCAGGACTCAGGAAGCTGAGGCAGGAAATTAAGAGTTCAAGACTAGTCTAGTCTAGAGAGTGACTTGAAGCAAGCTTTGGCTACACAGTAAGACACTTTTTTAAAGACAGTGTTTCCCTATATTTTTTATTGGAGCCTGTCCTGGAACTCGCTCTGTAGACCAGGCTGGTCTCAGACTCACAGAGATCCACCTGCCTCTGCCTCCCGAGTGCTGGGATTAAAGGCATGCGCCACTGATGCCCGGCAGTAACACACTTTTTTAAAGCTAGAAAGAACATGTAAAAGAAGGAAGAGACAGGAAGGGAGGGAAAGAAAGAAGGAGGGAGAGACAGGACCAGGAATTCCACGATAGATGCATTGTTTTGTATTCTTACTTTCAAAAATGCAAAGGTAAGATTAATTTTCTTGATTAGCTGAACAAAACATTAATGTTAGGGTCTGCCTTATTTCTCAACTCTTGGTACAGGTATGACATGACCTTTACATTGTAGTTGTTATCTTGGTGCTTTAAAAAGTGGGTGGGGGGATGTCTCTGACCCTTTCTCCTGCTCTTGGAACCCTTTTCCTATGACTGGGATACCTATGCCAGCCTTGATAAGAAGGTTTGTGCCTAGTCCAAGTTTATCTTGGTACGCCATGCTCAGTTGATATTCCTGGATGCCCTGATCTTCTTTGAAGGGAAATGGAGGAGGAATGGATCTGGGGGAGAAGAGGGTCATAAACTGTGGTCAGGGTACACTGTATGAGACAGTTAAAAAAACCCAGCTCTATGTGGCTAACTTTCCCCTTGTGCTCCCTGTCTCCATGTTTGCTTACCTCTCTTCAGTCTCTCAGCTCTGTCGAAGAGTTTTTTCCATTTGGCCCTTTGAGACAGGCTCAGTACTATATCCCATACCTGCCCTGGATAATGTTTGTTCAATAGCATTGCCAGGCCTCTTCTTGAAGCTGTTGCAATCTTAGTCCGGGGGATAGGCTTGGGTTTAAATCCCAGAACTTTTCTGAGACTATCTTTGAATTCCATGAAGTCTTCATCACTGAGCTTCAGCAGGCAAAGAGTCAAGTTATAACCGTGTGTTTCTTCCATCTTGGACGATGAGGCTGGACTTGAGAGGTTAATAAACCTTCAAAACAAAGAAATAAGTGAAACCTGATTAAGAATGACATGAGAAGTCTCAGATTAAAAAGGCTTAAAACTGGAGGGTGGAAAAATGGCTAAGAGGCTAAGAACATTGTCTTATCTTCCAAAGGTACTGAGTTCAATTCCCAGTAGCTACTTGGTGTCTCACGACCATCTATTATGAGATCTGGTGGTCTCTTCTCTCCTTCAGGCAAACTCATAAGCAGAGCACTGTATACATAATAAACAAAAAATGAATAAATTCTGTTTAAAAAGGTTCATAACTATTGATATCATATATTCCTTCAGATGTAGGTGACTCATGCTTCACAATTTCCCAATAGTGCATTTGAATTTAATGATAACCCCTTAAAGTATGTAAAGCAGCCAAGTTTACCATTAGAACTAAAGAAGGAGTGTTGGCACTGCCATTGTGCCTACTACCATATACTACTAGGGACATGTCTTAGAACCAATTATAAACCGGAGTCCTTATGAGAATCTCTCTACACATTATAGCACACTGAAACCAGATATTTTTAAACAATACCTTGTCTAGCTCAAATAAGTGAAAATAAATCCCCCCATCACACCCACCACAGACACGGTGTTTTCTCTGTGCAAGTGTTCTGGCTGTCCTGGAACTGGCTTTGTAGGCCAGCTTGGCCTCAAACCCACAGAGGTCTACCTGACTCTACCTCCAGAGTGCTGGGATTAAAGGCAAGCTCCATGATGCTTGGCTCCAAAAGTTTTTAATTAAAAAGATTTTTTATGTGTTTTGCCTGCATTTATGCTTATGCAACAAGTGCATGCATGCAGTACCCATGGAGGTCAGAAGAGGGCATCAGATCCTATATGATTGGATTTCCAGTTGGCTGTGAGCCCTCAGGGGGTGCTAGGAATTGATCCTCTGAAGAGCAGCCAGTGCTCTCCATTGTGGAACCTTCTCTCCAGCCCTTTAAAGATTGTCTGGAAGTAAAAGAAACAAAGATTCTTTGGTGCATTAAAATGTTCATGGAACACTGAAAGATAGCTCCCATCAGTTACTGTATATAAAAACTGTTGACTCCCCAAGGAGGGCATTACTCCCTCTGAGGAGTAGATGGTGGTTAGGTAGTGGGAGAAGTGAAGAGGTCAGTAGAAGGGGAGCAAGTGGGGAGGGGGGGACTGGGTTTGTTTTTTTTAATGAAAAGTTTTTAAATTAAAAATTTACATTAATTAAAATTAAAATGCAACCCATTCTTTCTAAATGCTTCGTAACTATATGGATTAGTGGATACTCTTTTATCAGGTCCTGACTTTCAAAAATTAATGTAGTTTTTACAGCCAAGAAAAATGTCATTCAATCATCAGCTGCCAAAGCTCACATTAAAGTTGAACATTGTATATTATGCTTTGCATCCAAAGAGGCTGGGCATCAATCTACATACAAAATCTTTCATGAAAGTGCTAAATATAAATTGACAATTCAGAGCAAAATTATGTGCAAATAATTTATAATAAAAATATTAACCTAGACTCAAATACCATGTGGTATCTTCCTTTCCAGTACAAGGGGGGCTTAGTAAGATATGAGAATTCTAGAGTATGTAATATGGATTTGAGCCCCAGCCATTTGGAGAAGGAGGGAATAGAAGCAAGAGACAGGGAGGTATGAGAAGGGGGAGAGGAAGAGGAAGAGGAAGAGGAAGAAATAATTAAAATCTTAATATTAACTGCACTCACCATCTAGTACTGGACTAGCAGATTATGTTCAGATGTAATAACAAGAGCCTTGAAAGGGTTCACTTGGAACTCAGAAATGGTTAGAACACCTCCTAGTTAACACACGGCTGTGAGGATCACATGTAAAATGGATTTTGTTAATTGAATTTAAAACAAATCCAGTGCAGCCACAACCAGACCAAGACAGACATTGAAATCATATTTCCCTCTCTCCATGGCAGGTCTGTCCATATTTAATTGCATGATTCAGACCATTAACACTTCTGTCTCCATTATCTTTTTTATCTTATAAAACTTTCATTCTATCCATTAAAAAAGAAGCCTACATTGTCTACTAATCATTAGTCACATAATCTATAAGGAGGACTTTATTTCTATTCTAATGTTTGTTTTATTTGAGGAATTTCCATTTATTTGTTTATTTATTTGCAACAGGGTTTCACTTTGTAGGCCTGGCTGGTCTAGTGCTTGCTGTACGAACCAGGTTGACCTGAAACTGATACTTGCCTGCTTAACTTCCAATCTCTGCTGAGATTAAAGCTGTGTGAAATCACACCCAGTCATTTCATTCTTTAAAACTGGTACATACTTTTGCTTGTAATAATGAGTTTCAGGGTGAATATTTTCATGTTAGCATATATTGTACTTTAAACTGTTCCACATTGCTCTATATTCTTTTTATCCTAGTGTCTCTCTACTGTTAGGCACCCATATTACCCAAGGCATTTTGCTTCTACTTTTACATCATATTTATAGATTATGGCATAAATATATTACCTATTTACAATGTAAATATACCACATCCATAAAATATACATCGGTAAAAATATGATTTTACATATCTATAAAGAAAGCCATGGTCCACAAGTTAGAGAAAGCATGCCCTATTTTCTTTCTTGGTCTCAATTCCCACTTGCATCCATTTTCCGGCAAACGATACAGTTTCAATCATTTTTGTTGCTGGATTAAATTAGACTGTATTAGAGAGGATTTTCTATTTTAATTGATACATGGAAATCATACTCATCAATAGGCAACTTTGCAAATATTCAATTCATTTGTATTCTGGGTAATGTTCAAATCACAGAAACACACATCTGCTTTTAGCACAAACATCAAAAATCTTTCCAATGCTTTGAAACACATGCTACTTATTGCTGTCTATAGTCACACAACTGCAGGCTAGAACTGCAGACCAATTTAGAAGTTTAATTTTATTCTAAGTTTTCTTTAAATAAAACACTCTGGCATAGCAACGCAAATGACATATCAAGTTAAGACTATAATAAGAGTGACTTAATGTATTTCTTATTGTTTTTACTTTTTTCGAAGTTTTATTTTGGTTCCATTGGCGCCTTGCCTGCATGATGTCTGTGTGAGAGTGTCAGATCCCCTGGAACTGGTGTAACAGGCATCGGTGAGCTGCCTTATGGGTGTTGGGAAATGAATTCAAATCCTTGGAAGAACAGCCTTGCTGTGTGGGTATGAATGGTTTGACCACATACATGTCTATACAACTGTGTCTGTGCCTGGTATTCTCAGAGGGCACTGAAACTGGAGTTACAGATGGTTTTGTGTCACCTTGTGGGTGTTGGGAACAAAGCCCAGGCCCTCTGAAAGAGCAGCAAGTGCTCTTAACTGCTGAGCCTTGTCTCCAGACCCAGCAGGGAAACCTTGCCCTTAGGATATTATAGGTGAGGACCATCAGGAAGGAAAACATGCTGTCATTGTTTGTATGTTTGTATGTTTGTTTGAATTATTTCACTCAATCTTATAATTCTATATCTATCAAATTTCAAACCAATTTTATGATTTCTTGTTCCATTATACTGAAATATTGCATTATTTATGTATACCATGTTTTCATTATTAGAACTAATTTTCCTTGTGACCAAATCCCTAGTGCACAAAGGGACTTTGGGAGCCCATTCCCATGGAGGGATACTCTCTTAGCCTAGATATACAGGGAAGGGCCTATGCCCTGCCCCAAATGACTTGATAGATTATGATGATCCCTCATGGAAGGCCTCATCCTCCCTGGGGAGTGGATGGGAGATAGGATGGGGGGATTGGTAGGGGCCATGGGATGAAGGGAGGGAGAATTGGAATTGATATGTAAAATATGATAGTTTCTAATTTAAATAAAAATTATAAATAAAAAATAAAAATGGGAAGTGAGTGTGGGCTGATCTTCTTGGGCCTGCTCCGACATAAAGGACCATCCTGGGACCACTCTGAGTCTGACCACACCTCAGTCTTGGTGCCCCTCCACCCCTGGCCCTCTGTCTGAGGTGAGTGTGGGCTCTTCTGGGGTCCCCAACTCCCTATATCACCTGCTTGCATCTACCTGGGTCTGCCCCTTTCCTAGAGTGTCTCAGACATACCTGTATCCATCCTGAGACTCATCGGAGTATTGGACCTGCTGGAACCCACATAAGAGATCCCTAGACAATACCCACCAGGAGAGGAAGAGACCCTACAGCTCCCATTGGAAGAAGGGATGGGAAGACTACAATATAAAAACAGTCAACAACAGAAAAACCAATATAACCACACCAGAATCTAGGGACTCTACACCAGCAAGACCTGAACATCCCAACACAACCTCATGAAAATGATAGAGGCCCTTAGAGAAGTTATGAGAAAATCCCTTAAAGAAATAGAAGAAAAAATAAAATATTGCAAGAAATGAAGAAATTTCTTAAAGAAAGCCAAGAAAAAGCAAACATATGCAGGAAACAATTCAAACAGTTCAAGACCTGAAAACTGAAATATAGAAAATAAAGAAAACACAAACCGAGGGAAGGCTTCAAATAGAAAAGCTGGGTAAACAATCAGGAACTACAGATGCAAGCATAAACAGAATACAAGAGATGGAAGAGAGAATCTCAGGCGCTGAAGATAAATTAAAGGAAATAGATTCATCAACCAAAGAAAATCTTAAATACAACAAATCCTTAACCCAAAATATCCAGGAAATATGAGATACCGTGAAAAGATCAAACCTAAGAATAACAGGTAAGGACGAAGAATCGCAGCTCTATGGTGCAGAAACATATTCAACAAAATCACAGAAGAAAACTTTTCCAATGTGAAGGACATACTTATGAAGGTACAAGAAGCTTACCAAACACCAAATAGACTGGACCAAAAAAAATTCCATTGCCACATAATCAAAACACAAATCATATAGAATAAAGAAAGAAATTAAGAGCAGCAAAGAAAAAAGGCCAAGTAACATATAAAGGCAAGGCTATCAGAATTACACCTGACTTCTCC